TTTTTTTATGCATTTTTGTTATGGATTATCAGTTTTCAGTCATAGCGTTTCTAATATTTCTATATTGCCTGCTTACTTAACTGGGCGCATGGTAATGAAGATTAACAGCAATTTGCAAAATATGAGAGTTGGAAGTATATATATTTACTCTTTTCGCCAAGACACTACCACAAGCGCAGGCTCGTACTGTGAGCACTAAAGCAGACTTGATATTTCCCAGCACATTTTCAACATTTCTTTTATGGATTGGAGTAGTAGGCTCCGCTGAAATTTGGTGGTCTCCCCTATAATATATTGCAAGCATAGCGCTGAGCGAAGGCGAGTTGTACAGTATGATTTGCGGTGAGTAATTATATATTTGATTATCAAGTATTGATGTATAATGGATAATCAGCGCATAGTTTTTTTCATATGTTGATGAATTTGTGCATAACATTCTTTAAATTTCAACAGTGTTAATCATGAAATAAGGTTTTTAAGGAGTATTGGGATGTGGCTTGAAAAATATTGAAATACACAATTCATCTACTCAGTATGTGAACAAAGCAAAAACTTTGTATTTTAATTAAGCGAGGGATACATCATTTCTGGCCTTCACAAATCTTGCCACTCAGAAAATATTTAAAATATTTGCAAATTGGAGGTGCTTAAACGTGAAAAAGTGTGGTGAGAGGTAAACAAGGCATAATATGATTTATTATGTGTCAATTCTATACTCCAACTTAAATAGATTTCTTGGAAGAAAACCTCGAAGAGTGGTATATTTTTCATTAATGACAATTCCTACTGGAAGCAAAAAATGATCAGCAAGAGATGTATGCAAAGAAGTATGTCTTCAAAAAGAAAAAAAACTCCAATAAACGCTTATTAAAGAGATGAAAATGTGTGTGGTAAGGAAATTAAGAATTATTTATCCATGATGCAGTAAAAATTTTGAACAAAGAAGGAGTTTTAAAGTGTCATTTCGTATTCTAGCTTTTCCCCTCCTCCGAGAATGCAAAAAATAATTTTTGTACGTTTTGATAAATTTTAGTCATGCTCGTATGTATTATCAAAATAATTATTACTGTTCTTGAAAGAATAATTGTTTGTTGAAAATATTTTGCACAAAATATATTTTTGTAAACAGGATTATAATTACTTTTGCTTTACTGATTAATGTGACGGTGCCTGTGATTTGCTCTCTTTTGAAATTTAAAATTAGATAAATGTCATTTATGGCATGCGTAATGTGCTACGCGTTCAGTTACAGAGCTAACAGCATCTGCTACATTATATTGCTTATCCACAAATCATATAACAAATTTGAAGTAAGTTAAATATGGAAGTAAGAAAAAATACAAAAAGTGAAGAATTTTGTATTCTTGTGTGGCAACAAGTTGTTTTGAACGCTGAGGATTTCAAGAATTAATGTTCTTGTCAGGATGTGCCACAAGCTAAATTATAATCGCTTTTATTTTAAGGCACACAAAAAGTATGAGTCGTGAAATTGTTACTATAGCACGCTCCAATTTATATATACATTTTTTTTTTGCACAAGGTGGTAGATTGAATGTGGTGAAGTCTTTCGGGGCGTGTAGTAGGTCGTTCCGCGATTTACTAACGTGAATAAACGAGAGGTAGTTTTCAGCTATGTCATGATAGTGCGCGCATGAGCTTGGGTGAGTTTGTGTGTGTGTATGTGCGTGCGTGCGTGCGTGCGTGCGTGTGTGTGTGTGTGTGTGTGTGTTTTTTTTAAATTTTGGCTATTACAAGAACTATACTCTTATGAAATAGACATAGTGGTCAGTGCTATTCTTAACGGACACTCCCGTCATTTGGTATGTGTGTGTGAAAATTGAAATATAATTAATAAACAGTTGCGATACTTTCTGATACTTATAAATTATTTAAAGGGATCCTGTGTCTGTGCGGCGAACTTACAAGGAAATGGTTGTTAAAACATAACAATTTTGAATTTATTAGATGTATTGCAAAAACATTGCAAAAAATGTATAAATAGAAAAAGAAGTGTATACAAACTTAATCTTCATTACAGTTTCTCAATAAATATGTATTCAAATTGAGATTTGAGCTCGGGGAAAAAATCAGTTTGATGCCAAAGACATAAAAATTCAACACTCAGACATTGTAATACTTATTGCTGATTGAAATGATCAAAACAAATATTTTTACTATCAACATTTTTAGAACAGTGTGGCGCAACAAACAATATTGTCAGTTGTTTGAGTTTCGGAATTAATTATGTTAAAATTTCATTGATAGTGTAATTATTCAGTAGCTCACCCTGCGAGACGTTAAATATTTTTATATGGTCAGTAGGAACAAATAATATTTAACTTCTACCGGGAAAAGATAAAATATATCAGCAAATGTATAGGTGCAAATATTTGAGCCAATATTTTAAAGTTGAGTATGTCTGTTATTCAATATTTAAATATTGCAGTGCTATCAATAATCGTTTTTGTGTTTATTAAAAGGTGTTTATAAAGTTGTTTCACTGAGTCTAAGCAGTTAAAAAAAAAGTGTGATAACTGTGATAAGCAACAAGAACAAAAACGAAATCGACCTAGGCTCACTATGGCGGATCTGCTCTTTTTTTATTTAAGATGTTTTGCTAAATCTTTGCTACTGCTAGTTTTCGTCCATGCAACAATACAACGTTTTCTAGCCAACAAATATTTTTTCTTAAAAATGTGAATGTTTTGTAAACAATAAAAAAGTACTGATCTGTTATTTTTCTAATATATTTTGTCTGCTAAAATGATAAATGTGGTATTTTTGCAAGAAGGAAACACATTTTTAATTACGATTAAAATTTTGTCTCTATGCAAGTGGGCAATGAATTTTATTGCTACATTAATATTATATTTCTGTTTATGTTTTTATGGTCAAAATGTCTAAACGCTGCGCAATTTTAATGTGTTCAAGTTTTATAATTCAATCATTCATACATTTATTTTTCTTCAAATGCAATTGTAAAAGCGACGAGTGTTGTTAATTTTATTGAAAAGCATTAATCTATCTTGTTTTGTTGGTTGTAAAATATTTTTATTTTTCAAACTATATAAGCAATCTGAATAAAAGTTTTCTTCGCTACACGTGTAAATCACATGTCCAAGCAACAAATATTAAATAATTTATTGTTAAAATTTTATTTTAATTGTTATCTACACATGTCAAAACTGGAGCTTGGAAAATGAACAGAAAAGTTTACACATCTAGCAGTTGCCGTCTACTAAACAAGTCACGTCTAAGACACACAGACGGTGGGGTCAACCGTAAGCTATCGCGAAAAGACCCATTGCACACACTTAAAAATGATGTAAAATTTACTATAATAAGAATAAATTTGCAAACTATTTTGCTAATTTTTATAGATATTTATATTAGTGCTAGAGTGTTTTATTGGTAAAAATTATTTAATATGTAAGTTCTTCATTCGTGCGATTTTTAAATGAGCAGCACTTGCGGCCACGGAAAAGTTTCTTAAATTTCTCGATTTTGTATAAACTGTGTAGGCTTGTTTGTTGCAAATAGAGAGTTTTTTATATTCAAATACGATGCTCAAAGAATTAGTAATTTTCATAAAAACCGGTAATTTTTTTGATTTTCTTTGTCGAGATGTCTTAGCATATTTTTTTTTTCAGATATGTTGATATTGTCAAAATAATCTAATTTCTTTTGTTAAATATTACAATTTTATTATTTTTAATGAGCTTGAAGTGGTCGTCAGGAGTTTTCTCCAGTGAGCAATTCCTCATAGTGTCGTGTAATTATTACGACTCAGAACCACCTCTTGCAACACCGAACCAGCTCTTCGCGGGCCGTCTTTGCGGCCACCAAGAAATCGAGCAAGTTCATCAGACACCGAAGGCCGAAGGGCTCGCGATACCCCTTTAAAGGTCTGCACATGCTCCCCCTCCATTGGCCTACAGCTTGGCCTCTTAAGGACAGTGGCAGTTTCGCCAATCAGCCGCACCGGGCACAGGTCAGCAGATTTAATTATAATAGGGTGCTCGAGGCGCCACTTGGTGTCCGATATATTGTTAGATCGCTGTGCTTCTCCTAGGCCCCCCAAATAGACCTTTAAATGCATGCAGAAACTTGGGCTCCATTGACCTAGTGACCCCCCTTTTGGAAGGAAGGGGGCCAGCAAGGGGTACCCTGGCAGGTCGGAGCGGGGCGCTCGATGCGCCACCTGGTGGCCGATATATCGTTAGATCGCTGTGCCCCCCCTATTATACCTTACTTATTGATCAAATATAAGTTTTAGTTGGTAAAAGTTGTATGCATTAGCTTGAGTATTAATCAAGAAGCCTGAAAAATTTGGAAAAATAATTTTAAAAATTGCATTTATTAAATTTCAATGAACCTAGTTTAAATTGATTTAGATCTACCGTTTTTTATTTGTATTACATTGAAAAAATAAAACCCTCCGGCAGCAAAGTAAGGGAACAAATTCTGAGCTAACAATAAGTCCAATAAGTAATAGGAATTTTCGCCTGCAATCGATATGTATGCAACCTGCGTGACAGCATTGCTAGTAATATTGCATAAGTAAAGCTTATTTTAATTTAAATCTTGCACAATTGTATCCACCAAGTTGCAATTTATCGCTATTGCAACTTTTATTAAATTGAAAGAAATTTATAACTTTTATGTTTTTTATTTTGAACGCGTCTCTTAAAAAAAAAATTATAAAAAAACATTCAAACCCAAAACATAAAATATTATGAGACAATTCCTGTTTCAATTTAGTCGTATATCGAAAAAAAAGTAAATATCCGTTAAAATTTGGATATATTTTCAGAAAATTCTCTTTTACCCTTTTTTATGAAAAAATAAAAGATAACTTTTGGCGATTTTTCACCTCCGCCTGTCAAGCGTGTCAGCTTGATGGGAAGTGCCATTTTTTTTCGCTATCTGCCAGTCGCTCACGCTATTAAACGCCAAATGGAGTGGACAGACAGCAATCTTTTCCTCGTTCAATTTGGCAGATTCTGAAGGAATTCCCGGAGGAGTTGCGAGGCGACGTGTCGATGCACCTGCACAGGGAGGTGCTGCAGCTGCCCATCTTCCAGCAGGCGCCCCAGGGCTGCCTGAAGCTGCTGTCGCTGCACATCAAGTCGACGTTCTGCGCGCCCGGCGAGTACATGGTGCACAAGGGCGACGCCCTCAACTCGCTCTACTACCTGTGCCACGGCTCGATGGAGGTGCAGCACCACGGCATGGTGGTCGCCATTCTCGGTACTCGACCCTTAATCCTAAGACGATCGACCTTTCTTCTCACCCTGATGTATGTTCGCAGGCACCGGTGATCTGGTTGGTTGTGATATTCCGCTCGAGGGCACCACTGTCGGCGTGGCCAAGTCCAGCGGCGCTGTCAAAGCTTTAACCTACTGCGACTTGAAGAACATCAACATGGCCGGCCTTGTTGAAGTGCTCAGGTTGTACCCTGAGTTCCAGCAGGAGTTCTGCAACGACATCCTGCACGATCTGACCTATAACTTGAGAGAGGGATACGAGGCTGAGGTGAGACTTTGTCCAATCTCTTTTAAATGTATAGATATAATTATTATTAAAAAGGTTTATATGAAATTTTTAGAAATTTTTGAAAGTATGTTGAACACAATCAAATTTTTGATTGAATTATTTTGGATTTCTTTTAAACTCCTTGTTGATAAAGTCAAATCAAGTCTTTACAAAAAATGATAGTTAAAGTTTCCAAACAATTAATTGCCAAAAATGGCTCTTATTGTTGAAAGACTTGATTTGACTTTGCCAAATTTAATATGGAAGTTCAAGTTTTTAATTCTTGTTTTGTAAAATTGTCAGAAATTTTTCATTTTAACATTATCAATTTTCCTTTTTAAGGAATCAGGAGGAATCTAACTTTTTGTTTGTTTCCTTGTTAAAAATAAGTTGAAATTTTTAAAGGTATCGCTGATATTGAAACTGAAAAATTGCAATGCTCGCATTGTTTTTTCTTCTTTCTTTCTTTCAGCAAGACGAATGCGAGGATTACGAGCTCAACCGAGCACCATCCTTAACTTTACCCTCCATTAGTGAGGCGGACGAATCGCAAGTTGCCGACGAGGAATCCTCGCCTCTCCAGCTAAGTCAGGAGCTCAAGAGCAACAACAACAATACTCGCAGTCCCAAGGCGCGCAGCCTACTCGCCATGAGGTAGGAATTTATTTTTTTACAACAGTAGAAAAGACAACGAAAGAATCGCAATAAAGTTAAACACAGCTGAAGAAAGGGGAGGGAAATGTATAAATGGGATTTTTTGCCAGTGAAACTCAAACTTGAAGTAAAAATGACACGCAGAGTTTACTATTTACATTTAAAGGATGCATCGAGTTAGTTCAAATTTGACAATTGGTTCATAAATTATAACTTACTTCCACTTATTTGCCCACTTATAAACGCGTATTGAATTAATAAGATAGAACTTATATTTCTAAAAAGGAATTTAATGTAGGTTTAAAGAGAGACTTCGTCAACATTCTTTATTCCTGAATGTAAAAAAGACCAATTAAAAAATTTCTCGAACCAGGGGGTTTATAAATAGGTTCAGTTTTTCTCAACAAACGAATTTGAACCTTAAAGGAAGTTGTTAAATCTCTAATTTGGAGTAAAACAGTCAACATTCTAAACTCCCATGCAGGTTCAAATTGTTTCGGCGCGTAAACGCAATACCGAGTTTAAATCCTTTTAGAGGGTGAGTTTTTCAATATCCATTTCAACGGTCGTCATGAAATTTGATCTTCTTTCATAGTCAGGAATAAAAAAAAATACAGACTTTCCTCTTTAAATAAGTAGCTGAGCACTTGTTCAGATCAGGAAAATCGCAGCACTTGATTATTTGAGTGTTTCGATCACTGGCAGTCTCAAGTCCACTGCTTTAATTTAAATATAATTTCAATGCTTCTGCATATTGTTGTTGTTCTGCATGCCCTTGAAGTAGTCATTGCGGAAGCCCTTGTTGATGAGACCGCCGATGATTGTTCTCATCCACACCGGCGGGAACTCTGTGAACCAGTACTGGAACAAAAATCATTTTCCCATCATATTATTCACCCAAATTGGAATCCCAGCCGTTAATTATATTCACGATCCCCGTGGTGTAATTAAAGACGCCCTTAAGCAAGTGGCCGGCCTAAATTAGTGCGGAGAGAGAGCAATTAATTTACTTGTATTCCGTGGGCCCAGTAGCCGGTGGTGTGGTCCAACTTTCCGAGGGTATTGATTGCGCTTTTGGCGTAGGTGGCGGCGCTCGGCACAAAGATGCCATCCTCCTGCAGCCGGTGGCTGAACGCATTCATTTTGGTGTTGATGAAGAGGGGTGAGAGGTGCTGGACGGTGATGCCACTGTCCTGGTACTCGTTCCGCAGAGCTGCCGAAAAGCTCTTCACGAATACCTGGGGTGGAAACAAATTAAAAAGAAGGATGATTGAAAAGCAGACGGAAAATATAATTATTAAAAAATGAAGAGAGAGAGGAAAAGAGAAATTTCTGACAAAATTATCTCATAAACCCAGAGCCCGAGGGGAAACGTTCGGAACAAATTGCCTTGTTCTTTTTATTAAATGAAAACGTTCCTCTCATTTGGGATGATTACAAATTTAGCCTGTTTCAAGTTCAAGAAATGTCAATTTTACTCATGCCAGGAAATATTAAAAATTTAAATTTGTAATATTTTTCAAATATTTTGGATAATTAAAAATTAAATTTAGCTTACAATTCATGAGAGAGAAAATGACTTTTAAACTAAATTAAAAATAAAATAAACATCTCAAAATGAGATTTTCTTGTAATATTTTCAATTTTTGGATAATTTTGTGCCTCCTAAATTACCTTTGATGCGGCGTAGATTGTCATGAAGGGCAGTGGTTGGCACTCGGAACCCGACGACATGTTCACAATGGCACCTTTTCCCCGCAACTTCATGCCTCTCAGCACGATGCGGGTCATCATCGTGGTCGCGCCAATGTTGATATTGATGATGGACCAAATTTGATCCGGAGGCACTTCGCCCACGTACATAGGGTACGAGTACTGCGAGCCGACGTTATTAACTATAAAAATAAAAAATAAATTATAATCCAATATTCATCAATGGCAAGAAATCTAATAAAGTAGAAAATGGAAAAGGAAAATCCTTTCAATTTGTTGCGTGGAATATAGAAATATATTATTTATAACGAATGCGCATTCACAGAGCAGAAAAAATTTATTTGATATATTCCTGGTTATTTCCAACTTCATGTTGCATCTATCAATATATAGGAAAGAAATTGACTCAAACAGAGTCGAGTGAAGGAAAAACCACCAAGGCCGTTCCGCTGCAGTGCGCCATTGATTATCCACGCCATTGAGACAAACTTGAGGACAATTAAACGAGAAACGCAAGTCACTTTGCACTTGAAGCAAATCACAATTGGCAGTGACTCGGATTTAATTTTTTGCGCTTTATTTTTTTAACAAAATACAACAATTGTTTGAAGCACGTACCTAAAATGCCGACAGGGATGTCTGCGAGTTGCTGGTCGATGCTTTCGTAGATGGACTCGCCTTTGCTGAAGTCGGCGACAATGATTCGCACGAGCACATTGTATTTCGCACCTAAATTGAAAACAAAGTCAAAATTTGATTTTATTGCATTGAACAAATTTATAATTCATCTAAAACAAACAAAAACTCAATTATTTGACTTTTTTTTTTTTTTTTAATAAAAAAAGGAATATTTATATGTAAAAAAATCCAATCTTCAAGGGGATTTCTTGTTTTGCACGATATATTTGCCACTTTTGTTAACATTTTGATGAAATATTATAAAACATGTTTTTTACTATTCATTAATTTGGAAGTTTAAATTATGCATAATCTAATAACATGAATTTTATTTTTATAGTTAACATGTAGATAATTGCAGAGTAAAACTTGTTAAAAATAGAATTTACATAAAAATACTTCTCCGTTCAAGAGTTTCCTGAAAATAGGTCAACGTATATTCTCCTTATGCAAACAATGGCTTTAAAAAAACCCCGTTTTGCCGAGAAATACTTCACTTTATTAAAATATCTGACGCTCCTTTTTCATTAACGCTGGCGTGTCGCTCAAGAGAGTGCAAATATTTGCTTTTCTATCATAATATGCATCATAGGAATTTTCTATAAATCGTGTTTGCTTTAATAGTTGAAACAAAACGAAGTGCATCGTCATTTGCATAAAAGATGTTCAATGTCATCGGGGGAAAAGTGTGCCTGTCATCTTTGCCTATTAATTCAAAGGTTGCCTCAGCGCCTTGGAACTCTCAAAGCTGCCATTGTGCTTTCGAGATGTAAAATAAAAAGACACTTGTAACGATGACACAAAATAAATTTTGATTTCCTCGTTCGAACAATCGCGGCCAATCAGCAGGCGACGCAGTAAAAGTGAGTAAAAAACATCAAGGAGAAAAAAATGGCTTTTTTCTGGCAAAGCACCTACGTCTGTGAAAATTGCAACAAAATTTGCGACTTACCCAACTGGGCAGCGACCGCAGAGAGCTTTTCAATGCTCCTGCTCACTAGGACTAGGTTGATTCCACGCTTGGCCAATTCCTCGGCGTACGCTCTGCCTATCCCATCGGTCGAGCCAGTCACAACTGAAAGAAATATAAAGATATTTTGTGGTTAGCAAAAATAATTAATCTAGTTCAGTCATTCAATTATAACCATAAAAATAACAACACACTGCGGTTTTTTTAAGTTCAGTTTTTGATTAACTTTTGGCAATAATATAAACCTGCGTTTGTAAATTTTATAGAACTTCAAAGGAAAATATAAACAAATCCGCAAATAAATTCGATTATTGCGATAAACAAAATCGCCGTAGGCCCTTTTTCGCTCTGCAAATTGAATATATCGAAAAACATTACGACACAAATCAAAGGAAGCAATATGACTTTGCTTTTATCATTGAAAACAAAAACCTTTCGGCACAACTTTGGCTACTTTTGTTACTTCAATGAACGCTCTGGCCATAGGCAATGAGCAAAAATAGCTTTTCAGGTTGGAGAGGCTAATGTAATTTCTAAAGAGAATTAAGTGCTTGTATGTATGAATTCCACATTTGACAGCTGTCAAAAAGATGCTTTTAGCTCATCAGCACCCGCTCCAAAATCGTGCTTTATGATGTCCGCGCGCTTCAATTTATAATGAGAGGAAATGAAAATGCAATAACCGCGTTAATATCACATCAGGCCAATTCAATATGGCAAAAATATTAAAATGGGAACGTAATTGGTTTTTGAAATTTATTAACAATTTATGAAAAGCTGATAAATTTAAATGTCATGTAGGACGAACAGGGAAGTAACTTTTGTTAAATCGGAACAAGGTGAGACAAATTGTGCTCTATTCGAATGGTAAATAAATTAGAAGCGGGGAAAAAGTTGTAAAAATTTAAAGTGAAGCAAATTTAATTTTCAGTGAAGATCTTAATGGTCTACGACCTTATTTTACGAGCAAGAAAAATTAAAAAAAAAACCAGCAAAGTTAAAAAAAACCTATTAAAAAAAAACAGTTTCAACAGTTTCAAACATTTTTGTTGCACTAGTAGAGTTGTTTGGTTTTAAACTAAAAACAAAACGAGGGAAAGACCCTTTTTCTTCAATTCAAATTTATTTAATTAAAAACTTGAGATAAACAAGACTGAAAATATTGTTTTGATTATTGTCTTGTTGAATAAAAGTTTACTTTATTAACGATTTCTTTGTTGCAAGCTAATTATTTTAGTACAAATTCATTTTTTTAGTAAAATTCCAATGATTTTGGAAATCATGATTTCTGAAATTATTAAATAAGAACAAACAGTTTCAAACTCAATTTTGAAAAAAAAAGTAATATTGAGAAGTAAAACTTTTTACGTCATTCATATAAGGAAATTAAGTTTTGCGGGTAGATCTGAGCATATTGAAGTGGATTTGCTGCAACCGATCGGAGCAGGCGTTGCGGCTTCATTATTAATTAGCCTCAGAGCTTCCACTTTGCCAAAATTGCGCACCTCCACATGCATACGAAAGGTCAAACCTCCACACACATCCGATATTGAATTCTGCCCCAACATGAATCAAACATGTTTCCTGTGCTGGTGCGTAAAATAATTCACAACCAAGGCCCGAAGAGCAAGAAAATTATCTCTATTCATCTCATGGGAAATTAATTACTCTTTGTTTTGATACAACTAATTTTCACCAACCTTGGCGGATCCTTGCATTTTTCTGCTAAATTTGATGCTAAAAAAAGAAAACGCATAAGATAAATTTTCTCATGAATGTGCATAAATCCGAGTCACGCAACATGCGTTCCGTGTCAAAAAGGCTTTTACTACAGAGAGAGTCATTATAAATTACGATTCAGTTTAATAACGCGTGCAGCTGGCGCGTATATTTTACACCGAGAGAGTGTTTCGTACATTCAAGAGAAAAAGAAAACTTGCGCAAACACTTTAACCCTCAAAATTAAATACGAAAGGTTAACTTTGGCACGTGACCTTTCACTTGACTAAATCTCCAAAAGTGATTTTTTTTTCTCTCTCTCATGCTCATCTCTGTCGCGTTCTCTCGGAATAGAAAATCGATTTTGCCGGGGAAATAATGCAGAGTTTACTGTACGTGTGGGACGGCGAGGGATGTGATTGATTTGTGCTTACGATGAAAGGTCACATAGCATTAACAATCCGAGCACGGCGATGCTGTGGCGATGGATGCTAAATGGCTTGCGGATCAAGAGCTATGGCGCGAGCCCAGATTTTGGCCGCTCCGAAGTCTTTGAAGAGCCTCGGATGTAAACGCGGGCGGCTCTTTTGTCGTTCTTGCCAGGGCTTCCACGTGAAATTGGTGTTTATTTTGGGAATTTATTATTGAAATATTATAAAATCATCAGAATAGAAATTGGAAAAGATGGAGCTTGAAAAAAAATATTGTTCACAAAAATCAAATTTTAACTTGGAATAAAATAAAGATTTCTCTTATTTTGAAGGTTTTTTCAAGAAGTTTCTGACTTTGAATTGAATGGCAAATATAACTTTGTAATTTATAATTTTATTTTTATAAAAAATAGAACGCTGTATAAAACAAAAAATAATCACAACTAGTGATGGGAATTCATGACATTTGATATCTTTTCAAATCTCCCCAAACGATTGTTCGGAAATGCGATGTTTGCTTGCTCGTTGAGGAAAAACGATCAGTGTTTATAGACGTCGGGTCGCGCGAGAGTTGACCACAACCACACATCACTGATCTATGTATTCATGCTCTGGTTGCACCGACAATGCAGATCAATCAAATCCGTGTTTGCTTTGCACGCAAAATCTACACACCAACAACGCGCGGCTCTGTTGGAATTTTGCAAATTGGGCCGTCGGGTAAACAACCAAGCTAATCGAATTTTGCCTCAAATGAAATCAGCCCAGATTATAAAATAAATGAGTTCCTAGTAAGAATTGTTTTCAAAATGTAGTCAAGAGACCTTGGAAGTGCGAAAAAGTGAAGTAATGAGAGTAAAATGATGATTTGGCACTTCAAGAGAGGGCATGAATGTGCAAAAATCTACAATGAGTAATTGAGCAAATTAGCACCGGTCCAAAGAATTCACTTGAATTCGTCGCTTATCCCATACAGGTTGCAAGAACCATAATTTTTCCCTAATAAATTATTCTATTAATCTAAACCTTTTTTACATAAAAAAAACTGTAAAAAAAAATCAAATTTATTTGTATTGAAATTATATTCTGACTTCCGTCAGCTTTTATTAATAATTAAAATCCACAATTTAACTCCGTGATTGCCTACAAATTTAAGTATAAGCGCAAAAAAATTAGCCCACTTTGTATGCTACTCAATCTCGAAAGATTAATCACAGCATTATTTAAACATTAAAAAATCATTTTATAGTTCCAAAAGAATTATTATTTCCTTCTTGTGATAATTTTACAGTCATATTAATTTAAATTTATATCAGAGACATTACGCATGTTTGTAGAAGCTTTTAATCCTGATTTATTTTTAAATATATAATCGGATCCGATTGCGCAAATTGTCCAAGGGGAACACAAATGCCACGAGTTCCTTGAACGCATTTTGATTAATCGAGCTGGGGCCAAGAGGTTAAGAACGCCATCAAATATTCATTGTTCATCCTAGAAGCATTGCCAAAGATTTTCACTTTCGCCACGGGCACTGCGCCGAACAACTGGACATTACTTCCTCGCTATGGAATTTAATTTTCTTGCCAACTATAGCGCTTTTTACTCTCAATAGAATCAATAACCATGTAAAATAATGCAAAAAATCTAGATCTCTTTTGTGTTAACAAGAAGGAAAAGCGTCTCGCTTTTATGAAGAAGTATTTCTAGGACAATTTTATTTCAAAATTTAATAAGGTGGAAATTTCTATCATTCAGTTTATTTTACAGTTCTCAATTTTTCCACAGCATTAATGGATAATCCTTAATAGCAAATTTACTATTTATACTGTTAAAATTAATACAAAGTGATAAAATCTGAAAGGAAACCAACACTCGCCACGCTGTTAAACTGAATGGTTAATTGCTCATTGTTAGAATTCAGTTGCAAAATAGGAAAGAAGCAACCTTGGGAGTATTAAACACAGCTAATTTTAAGAACAATCGCCTTCTCAAGAAGTGATGCGGAGACAATTTTCTTATGTAAAGAGACTGAAACTCGTTTGATCGCGATTGCAGAGTTTTGCAAACAAGTTTGTAAAGCGCGCAATCGTCTGACTGAGTATATATTTACACTGGAAATGGAAGAAGAGCGCGGCTTTTTAATGATTTAAAGAGCAGATAATTAATCACGATATAGCGAGTTCTAAGGATTATTATATTTTTTATTTCTAACAAATCTCATCAAATTTATACTGTCAGATTTTTACATCTTTTAACAAGAAAAATATTTCTCGTGCAAATTGTGTTTTAAAATTATTTAAAGTTTGGCATCAAATTGAATAGAATGAAGGCCACGAAGAAAGCAAACAATCCTTTCTATTTTGGAAGAGACGTTAGTGAGTATTTAAAGCTTAATTGATTGGTTTGCACATATGAAGGTAATTAGCAAGAATATTGAACCTTCAAAATGATAGAAAATACAAACTTTTATGAAGATTTCAATAATAGCAATCTTATGATTTTAAATATAAAATATTATTAAAAAAATCATTATTTAAAAACTTGAATTGATTTTTCATCTTAAAATTAAAAATTTCCTTCTTGTGCCTTTGGAGAGATGATTGCTCTCTTATTTTTCAAAATAATAAAAAGATCATCTCGTAAGTCAAAAAATATTCCCGTATTTATTCATTTAAGAATGTTAAAAATATGCAGTTTTTGCCAGGTTTTTGCGAAATGCGCAGCACGCATGAACCGCGGAGATTTCAGATCTCACCGCACGTTAATATTTTGCAAGTTTCCTTGTCTAAAAATATTTCACAATGTATATTTCCGGCCACAAAGGTGCGTAGTTCTATAAATAAAATTATGATACAATGACTGGAGATAATGACACAAAACCACTGATGGCCGTTGATTCGGAACAACACACTTTTTTCCTCAATACAAGAGAAATTTCAGAAATTTCTCGAC